GGGGGGGGGGGGGGGGGGGGGGCCATCAGAACAGGCATTCAGAAGCAGTGGCGCCTGAGCAGACCCAACCTCTAGAAGGACGTGGCAGCTGGCCAAAAGGGAGGCCTAAAGGTTGAGCAAAGAGTGCTTGGGGCTAGACTCAACAGATGCAAAGAAAGGCAGAAAGCCAAGGAAGCACAGGGCACTGCTGGAGGGGCTGCCAGTGCCAGCACAGGGTAGAAGACAAAAATGGAGAGGCCAGTGGGGGCAGACTGGGAAAAGCCTTATAGTACGGAATCAAATATGCATCTGGAACTTTGGAAAAGACTTAAGAGAGAACTTTGGCAGCCACCTTCCTGAAGGAAGTAACTGAAGTCATCACCCAGGGAGATATGCAGGGTGCAAACAGCAGAAGATAATTACAGAAATAATGACAGCAGGTACAGGTGAAGAAGGGCCAGGCAAAAGAAACTTGGGCAGAAGCAGTCAGGTATGTGGAAAAAAATTCCAACAGAAGTGTCATGAAATCCAAAGAAGTAAAGAACAGGAGGGAATAACCCACAGTGACAAGTCAAGGAAGACAAGACTACAGTGTTGTTGATAATCTGCGGGGTCTCAGGTGACCTCAGCAAAAGCAGTTTCTGTGAGATGATGGAGAGCATGATGTTTATGCAGACCATGGCTTTCAGTAGGTCTGACTGTGAAAAAAGAAGAGAGGACCATAACTGGTAAGGGATTTGGGTTGAAGGATTGTGCGGGGTTGGGGGGTGTTAGAGTTTTACTGTTATTTGTTTGTTTTTTCTTCCGTAGTTTTGGTTTAGTTTCATTTTGAGAGTTTCCAGTGTTTATATAATAAGACAAAAGAACCACTAGAAATAGTTGGAGAAATTTTAAAACCAGGAAATAACTGGTAAGGATACCAAACAGGAGAGAAGTACGGTATATAAAAGTTATTAACAGAGATCTGCAGAGGGGCAGGAGGGTATCCAGAAAAAGACCTCTTCCACTGAGAGAGAAAAGAAAGCCCTAAAGATAGGTTTAGATATCAAAGAATTTGTAGGTGGTGGGAGAAAAGCTGAGGTGATTCATTTTCTCATTTTGGTACTATGACAGTTTATTTCTGTTGAACCAGGACAGCTAGGTTGATTTCTGGTTTCCTAAATGTTACTTTAAGGAAAGAAGCTGAACTTTAACCTTCTAAAATAAGTATAAAAGTGAGAGTTAAATATACATTTCAGATATTCCACTGAATTGTTTATTTGCAATGACATAAGGATGAATCAAAATTGTTTAAAATGAACTTAATTTTACCAAAATTAGATCCTTCCACCCTTACAGATTACAACATTTGGTTGTCAATCACTGATAAATCAGCAATAAAACCTAGTATACAGTAACACAGTATCAAGAAAGGTTTATTAGAAGACACAAAATGAAAAGCTAACTTTAAAAAAACAACTATGAATTCTTCGTGGAATTTTTAAGAAACTTTCAGGGTAAGATAATATCTTTATAAAAAAGATATTAAAGTCACATTTCTTACCATCATACAAAACAGGCCAAGACAACAGCCTGTAGAAAGTGTTATTTTATTTATGTTGAACTAATGTATGTGTGAAAGCTGGTTCCCAAACTGTGTACAACAGATGTTCTGCTACAACAGATTACTAACAGATTACAACAGATTGCTCATCGAAAAATTGACTTAATACCTCAAAGTGCTTGCTCCTTTCCAACCCTCCATCTCACCTACCTGTAAGAAATAACTGCTATTAATATAGCCTTTTTCAACTTCTCAAAAACTGTATTGTATTCTTATACAGGGGCAGCTGTAAGCCATCACTAATAAATGAGTATTAAATGAGTATTAAATAAAACACTTTTCTATAATGATATTATTCCTAAAGATATTAAAGAGTACTGTGTACAAATTTTTTAATACAATAGATCTAAGAGAAATAAGACAATAGGGAATAAATTCATTATGTATTCCCAAAATCTACAAAAATAAAATAATTATTTTTAAGTGAAATAAACAAAATGAGTAATGGTGAGTCACAACCATCTGAATAAATTTTTAAATGGGTGGATAGTTAAATATTCATGCAAACACAAACACACAAATATATAAAAACTACTCCAGGTACATGTTTTAAAAAGTTGTTCCTAGCCATGGTTATCTTCTGCCCTAGCCTTACTATGTCAAGGGATTTGACAGATTTAAAAGCTGTTAAAAAGAGAGGCTTTCTCCCCTTCCAACAACAAAGAAATCAGGAAACAAAGAAGAAAAAGGTTTAGTTTAGGTCTTTTCCACAGCTCTGCTATGACTTTTCCAGAGTCACTGATGAGTGCCAATCCCTCCCCCACCCCCACAGTAACCCACCAACAGCTGTGTCTTTAGACCACACTGTGCCAATGCCCAACTCTTTGTGGCAAGTACAAGAAAAGGAGGAACTCCAGTCAGAAGGTGTAGTGGTCATGGAAAGAGGAGCCCAACAGCTCGTGACCTCCACAGGCCACTGAACCTGTGCTACAGAAGAAAACTCATTCCCAGGTAGAAAGATAGACAGACCAGACACCCTTTCTTTCTCTGCCCCCATAAGCACAACTCTACATACATCTCCCAGATATCAAAACGGGCATTTCAGTTCAATATTAGTCACCAAGAAGATGGGGTTTAAAATAAGGAAATTCACTTTGTAAAATGTTTACTCTTTTGAATGACTATAGACAGATCTTAGGGGGTTACTTTTCTGAAACACGTTTGCTTTCACCAAAATGGAAAACTTACTGTTGATGTGATCGATGTAGTAGACACCAATCTGAGGGTCAAACCCTGCTTCCCATCCCCATGGCAGCTCATCCCCAACACAATCAGCAAATGACAAGGGCTTCGTTAACCTATAACAAACCAGAATAAACACACCAGTGACTTTTTCGGTCAAACCACATATGTCAAAATTCAGCACCCTAACCCCAAGTGTCTAAGTTGCATTTCCTTTTTCTTCTTGACTGTTTAGAGTTTGCACTACTGCATTTTAAATCTTAAAAGAAGAAAAAAAGGTGAATATCTGAAAACACCCTTTTGAACGTTCACAGCTTAAGATTGGGAGATAAATCAATACAATTAATAAATAAAGCCATCTTAAATCAGGGAGAACTCAAAGCTGAGAAAGGAGACCTAGGATCTAGCTCTATCACTAGCAGCAAAATAGCAATCCCATTAAAAAGAAAAATTTGTCCCATATTCAAATACTGGCATCATGGAAATCAAGTCAGTACCTCTAAAATGAGACATGCATCAAGCTACACTCATTTCAGATTTGATGCTCTTATATAAATTAACTACACACTCAACTATGAGATCTACTATGAGTTCTCCTTGAAAGGAAGGACAAACATCTTATTTTTATAAGTATCTTACACATAAGTCACTCAACAAAATTTTTAATGGAACCGAATACATAGAGAATTCACATATCGATGTGATCTCACCTTTTGAAACTGCCTTAAACTTTCTCTTAAGATTTCCTCTTTAAGATTACTTTTTCCTTAAGATTTTTCAAAACTAATGAGGAACCTATAATTCTTTCCTAAGCAGAGTATAGGTTTCAGACTTATTTACGGATTGATTTTTTTTCTCTCACTCTCTTCATTTTTGCTTTTGAGATTTTTCTTGTCTGTTAAAGCAGCCATGGGCAGGTTAACACTATAGATTAGTAAATATCTTGTTGTAAGGTGGCCACCATCAGTCAACGTATCTTCTAATTTAATACACTGGCACCACTAGCATGGTTCTTACATAAAAAATCTCCTGAAATTCCTTTTATCCATGCTAATGAATATCAAACAACTCATAGCTCAACTGAAATACAGGTCACTTCCAGAATCACATCATTCATCATAACAAGAAAGTGTGTCATCAACCCTTCAGAATGCTGGGAGAATGATATGAAAAGGAGGGAAATAGTTTCTTCCCAGGCCTTACCTGCAATAGCCCTCCAAGGAGGCAAAACACTGAGAGACCACTTACTGGGAATCTCTCTCAACCTCAGTTCCCTTCTCTTTTAAAGGATGATCACATCCCCACCTCCTGTCTCTGCAATTTAACTACCTCCTAAAATTAATGTGAGGATAAAAAGGAATTAGCCGGGAACAGTGTCTAGGATACAGTAAGTAACCAACAAACGTTAGTGATCATTAACACAAGCATGTGTGAATTCTCATTTTTTCTTCAGAAGAACCAAGTGAGGCCGCACAGTATAGAATGCTAAAATTAATGTGAGGATAAAAAGGAATTAGCCGGGAACAGTGTCTAGGATACAGTAAGTAGCCAACAAACGTTAGTGATCATTAACACAAGCATGTGTGAATTCTCATTTTTTCTTCAGAAGAACCAAGTGAGGCCGCACAGTATAGAATAGTGGTCCCCCAAAGTAGAGTCCCCATGACCAGCAGCATCAACACCTGGGAATTGGTTAGAAACAAATTCTTGGGCCCTATATAGACTTACAAAATCAGAAATTCTAGGGCCCACCAATGTATGGTCTCCAGGTAGTTCTGCTGCACACTAAATAAAGTTTGAGAACCACTGGCTTAGAAATTCAGAGCTTAAAATTTGTCATCAAAGAGATCTAGGTTCAAACACGTATTCTTCCACTTACTCACAATACAACCTAGAGTGAGTTATTAGCCTTAAAAGCCCCAGTTTTCCAATCTATTTTTTAAAAGCAGATGGGGAAAGAGATTGTAAAGTTTAAATGAGAACTAAACAGTATAATGCCTGACAAATGGTAAGCTTCAATACATGTTAGATGAGTGAAAAGAATCTTAAGCATGTTAAGCAACGTGCCTAAATACAGCAACCTGCCATATTTACTTTGTAAAAGTGGAGCAAATCTGAACACAACCTGAGTCAAAAAAATGTGCTCTTTAGAATTGTGCTCCAATTCCATCTTATATCATAAACTGCCTAGAAAAATTGATTTTTCTTTTGACAAAAGAATTAGATAACATATCAAAAAATCCCCATACTATAGGAAGTGGCCTTGCTTACAAGAAGGATCTCTTAGACTACCTCAATAAAGCTGACTAGATAAAGCTCCTGTGCCAGGTTACCCTGAATATTATTCTGTGTGAGTCTTCTCTTTCCTTAACTCCTTTATCAATGTTTTTGAAAAGGCACATGCATCCTAAAGAAATGAAACATAAAGAGATATGAAAACAGTAAGATGAAGTGACAAAAGAGAGATATTAGACAAATTTTACCCTGGCACCAAATCAACATGCTTAAGCATGAGTATGACACAAATATATTTATTACACGTAGAAGTAGTTACAAATGCTTCAGAACATGTGCTATGATTACAAGTTATGGTAACTGATTACATTTGAAAATAATCATTTTTCCCATTAATTGGTCAACAGATAGTAAGCATTTAATTAACTGTCATTGTTCTAAGACTGGAATTACATCTATAAGTATACATGTAATTTTGAACTCAGTGAAAAACTTACACGTTTCCATTCCTCAAATTTTTAATGTAAAAATTTCTTTGCAGTGTTATGTCAAAAATCAATTTAATACTTTACTTTCTGTTTCTGAATAAAAATGTATATTTTATCTGCACTTTATCAATAAGTAAAACCACTAAATACATATTTACAAATATCAAAATTGTAGGATTGAATTCTTGTCCAAATAGCAAAATATAAATAGAATAACATTCTCAGATACCAAACAAACAAAATTAAGTACCCAATCCTACTGCTATCCTGATAAAGGGAAAATATTACTATGATATACTAAGAAGTAACACAAAGCAGAAAAGAAATAACAGGTGTATTCCAAAATTACAAACAATGTGAATTAAAACAAATACAATGAACAGAAATGTTTAACTTCTAAATTTCTTCCTCTTGTTTTGCACAAGTATCTCTGAAATGTTAAATCTTTCTTTGATGTTAAGGAAGTAAAAATGGATGGAGTCTGTCTTCTGTTGGTTCCCCTCAAAGGAGCATTATGCAAAAAGCCTGAAATTAACAAAAGTCTTTATGCCAAATTTCAGAGATGACTCTGCTTAAACAACAGTCTTCCTTTGCACCACGCCTAATGTGAAGTAAATGGTAATTTACTGCAGCACTTTGCCGAAGTTTGCACAAAAAATTTAAACTTTACATAGTATTTCCTGTCCTTGTTGGCATTATATCATTCTTTTACATAAATGAGTCATTTATTATTTATTGTCAAGTCATGGATACTTGTTCTATGACATGAGATGCCACAAACAGATATATTTACTCTCTATAATTATACGTAGTGAATACTGTGTGTGAGAGAGAGAGTGTGTGTGTGTGTGTGTGTATGCAAACACAACTCCAGAAAACTGGGTTTGTACTAATTGCACTAAATTAAAAAGCACTTGACAAAGAAAACCATTTCAGGTGAATAAAAACTCTTGCCACAATTCAGAACGTCCTGAATGTATAGTTTAGCGCAAATGTTAATGGTCTCAACAGTTTTTTTTTTTTAATTTACGTTTTTTCATTGTACGTTTATGAGTTACAGTTTGTTGTTTCAATACATGCATATATTGTATAATGATCTAATCAGAATAGTTCGTATATTTATCATTTCTTTGTAGTTATAACATTCAAGATTCTCTTTTCTGGCTACCTTGAAATATACAATACAGTATTATCAGCTATTGTCACCCTAGAGCACCAGAGCTTATTCTTCCTATCTAACCGTAGCTTTGTAACTTTAAGTTATTTTACTTTGTAGCATCTGTTGATCTCATTGTTAACTAACCCAAAGCAAAATTCATATTGTCAACTGTTGGTAATTTCTGCAGAATCTGCCCTCACAAACTACTCAATTGCTCTAAGAAAACAGGGAACAAGTATAGATGTGATTCACAATTTGAATTTTAAAGAGAGGGTAAAAATATTAGAAATCTTTCTATAGTTCTAAAAGAATTTACTTAAAATGATGTTGATTAGTTCCCTAAAAACACTATCTATCACTATTCTAGTTACAGGGAAACTAGCAACAGAAAGGAACAAAAAGAGGGGGGGAATAATAGGAAATATAACAGGAAATAGTGAACAGAGGCAACAAGAAGAAAACGGCTTTTAAGACAGATTATATAAACTACTTCAGAGAATAACAAGATTAGTTCTGTGCCTTTGAGGAAATTAGCTTAAATTCTTAGAAAGAAGTCATAATAGATAGAATTTCCAGAAATTTAAGACTAGGTATTAAAACAGGTCATAATTGGGAGAATCATGTCTTCCTGAGATCACTTTGACCTAAAAGCAAGAGAACAGACTGGGCAATATCTTGAGGCTCCAATCAATCCTCACCCCAGTATTCTCTGCTTCCTTCCAATGAGCACTTTTAGGTGCCTGACAACTTATATTATTGTTTATTAGAACCAATATTTTGAATATCATTTTATGAAACATTAATTTTTGAGAAAGGAAAGAAACCAATTTTATTGTCTACCATGTGCCAGGAATTGTGCAAGGTGGTTTCATATGTTATCTCACCTAATCCTACCAACAATCCTTTGAAATGGGTATTCTTACTCCCATTTTTACAGATTTAATTCTGTATGTGACACAGTGCTGTTTTGGACCCTGCCTGTGCGTAGTGGTGACATGTAACAAGTAAGGACTTGGTCCTTGCCCTGAGGAGCTCAGAGAAGGGCAGTCAAGTCAACAACCAAAGTGCCACCTACGGCTCAGCTGGGAAGGACCCTGGCCCAGTGCAATGGGTCAAGAAAGATTTAAAGAATTCATCAAATACTGCTCCAAGATTTAAATAATTCACCCAATGCTATGAACTTGGCAAACAGCATTACCAGGTGTTCTAACCAGGATCATTTTTT